TACATAGTATTTTACTACCTTCCTAAAGACATTCCACAATGTTTTATGTTAAATCTTGATCTACTAATGACTCTTAAATAAACTGAGGTCAGAAATATTGCTAAAGTGATAAGTTTCTGACAGTTTAGAGACGGAATAATCTCAGTAGTAGTTGTTTAGTGAAGCCAAATCTTTTAACTTAGGCTGTGTCTATATAAAGCTTTTTGACTTACTAAATAAACTTTTTTCTTGGCATTGTATAGACATAGCATTGATGTAAATTGCAAGAACACCCATAACCTATTATTCTATGTACATTTTTTTCCATTCTCATCGGATGCATCAAACATGCAGCGGTAATAAGCCAGATTCTACTCAGGTGTGTGAGAGGACTTGCCTTAAATTCACTTTTTCTCTGATATATTTATCATTAGTTACTATGAACACAAATTTATCTCAGAAACATTTTAGAAGATACTTTTGAACCACATTTTAAAGCATTTTCATTTTTATAAAAACTGTGTAACATCACAAAAAGATGTGGGGGTGGGGGCATTTCAGATAGGCATCACTCACAATCAAACCACCCTAACCCTGTCATGATAACTTATCATTTTGACCAAAACAGTGTACTAAATTGGGATTTTTATTTTACAAGTCATTGCTGTTCTGGCTTCATATTTACACTTCCCATTCTCATCCCCCTTAAAATCATTCTTGATCATCCTGTTTTCTTTCAACAGCTTCAGAGGATGATTCTGAAGAAGATGGAGACCATAACAGAACATTTGATATTGCCTAACTTCAGTTAAGACAAATGGATGATCTGTGAACAAGTGTTTATTAAAACTGGCAATTAAGTATGAATTAATTTTGTGGGGGGAATGCCTATTAAATATATTGACTATACATAAAATGAATATATACATATACATGTATTCATGTACATATATATTCATTCTCAAGTGTTGCTGAATTAAAATTCTGCTGGACCTTTTAACACTGGCCAGCAAATTCAATGTTTATAAAATTGGTAATCAAAAGACTTTTTCTTTTAGGTGAGTGGGAAAGTATTACCCTTGTTTTCAATATCTAAGCAGTGCCCATCAACCCTTTTTTGTGTTCTGAGTAGTCATATTTATGAGAAAAGGTTTGTGTTTTAGTCTCTTGCTAGTGAGAAAAGTGGGTCAAAATATGCTTTTAAAATAAAATGCCAAATGGCACCTAGTTTTCCTTTTTAAATGCCTTAAGTTGCAGTCATATTTTTAATAATCATTTACTTCCAGTGTTTTGAAAAAAAAATTTTTTTTAAGAATGGGAAGGAGGTTATGAAGAACATTATATTAGGTTTCCAAATTTAATTTGAATTCTAATTCACTTAGCAATAAAACCTAATTTAAAAAAAATGTGTAAGAGATGTAGAAATGATGGATAAATTTTTGTATTGATTTTCAAAATGCAGATTATATTTGATAGGCCATAGTGTGTGTAGTATTCCTTTTAGGAATATTATAGCTATAAATTATATCAGAATTGCCAGTCAAATGATATTTGGTTTAAAAAAAATTGTTACAATCTCAAGTTAATGGAATATTTTTAAATCCCACATTCAAAGTTTAAAACACTGGTTTTCAACGTGTTTTTTAGTGTTGTCACTTCTTTATAGATAAATATGATATAAATAACCAATTTGGATCCTGGTCATTTTTAACTGTTTCTTGGTAATTCTGAGCATTTATTTGATGATTAATATTTTTCACTACCTTTGAAATTCAAATAGATGAACATTACCTATTCAACATGAATGGTCTACAGTGTGGTCATGAGTTGTGTATACTTCCATAACATTGTATTTTTCCTCTGTCAACAACTTTAGGATACACTTAAAACACCTTCAGGTGGTTTCAGATTAAATTCTGATGTTATGGCAACAAACTACTCTTTTAAAATCTAAATAGAAACCATGTAATTTCTCAAATGTGAATGAACAGTTTGCCCACACTTAGTTTGTTGGTCCTATGTAAAACCTTGGCTTGAAATAAAGTGCATACTGATTGATTCTATTTTACAGTTTGAACTGTTTCCTTTTAAACTGTTGCTCAAAGAAGACTTAAGACCTTGTAGCCAAGACTTTTATTAAAATTTCACATCCCATTTCAATATGCTTCTAAAACATTTGCTGGATTCTTCCCTGTTGTCTTTGCATTGCCTCCTTAAAGCAAAAACACAAAATTGAAGGATACCAATTTCAATATATTCTGTCAGTCCTTTGAGATGCTTTGGATTCAAAATATTATATTTAAATAGAATTTATTATGAAAATTGTCTTCTGCTTAATCCACAATATATTTTATTTTTTTAAAATGTCATTTTCTTATTGTTTTTCATTAACTGCAAAAACAGGACATTGATAACAAGACAATGGTTTGAGTCTTATAGTCGTGTCAGCTTCTGCTGTTGTGTAAATTTAACACTATAGTGGAATAAACAGGAATAAGAATAGTCTTCACTGGTTATCAGTTTTAAATTCTGAACAAAAGAGATCATACATCACTACAAAGAATGCAGACTCCTGAGACCGTTTAGTTTAAAACTGTTCTCTCTACACTACTGCCAAGCATATGTTGTCAGGTCTGGGGATATTTACTTAGTATGTGGAAGGCCATGGGTTTTATTCCCCAGCACTGCAAAAAAAAAGTAAAAAGTCATCATCAACCAGAAACAAGTTATTGAAGAAAGCAATTTCCACATTCTGAAAGTAATTAACAAGCCTGCCTTTTTTTTTTTTTTTTAAAGCACTTTGGGGAACTTTGAACCCAAAGTGCTTTATTGACCTATGTCCCCATCCCTTTTATTTTTTTGAGATGGGCTCAGTTTGTTGAGGCTTCCCTTGAACTTGTAATCCTCCTGCCTCAGCCTCCCAAGTTGCGGGAATTACAGGCGAGACCACTGTCCCTGGCCAGATATTTTGATATGTAAATATAATTAAGATTTAACATTTAATTACCAGGGACCTCTAGACTTGTTATAAAATGAAATCAAACATTGAAAATTAAATAATTTAAAACAGCCATTTGCAAGAGCTGCATTTAGTAGAAATTGTCAAAATGTGTACAGAAAATAGTTACATGAAAATTTAGTAGATTTTAGAGTAGCACTGTTCTGTTTGGACTTTCTGTGATGGTGGAAGTGTTTTTCAGTATATGCTAGCTAGTATGGTAGCCACTAATCACATATGATTTGAGTGCTTAAAATGTTTCGATTTGGTGTTTTGTTTTTGTTTGTTTTGTTTTAATTTTAGATGGACACAATACCTTTATCTTATTTGTTTATTTTTATGTGATGCAGGGCATCCAACCCAGTGCCTCACACATGCTAGGCAAGCATTCTACCACTGAGCCACAACCCTGGCCTCTAAAATGTTGTGTTTTTTTTTTTAATATTTATTTTTCAGTTTTCAGCGGATACAACATCTTTGTTTATATGTGGTGCTGAGGATCGAACCTGGGCCGCACGCATACCAGGCGAGCCCGCTACCGCTTAAGCCACATCCCCAGCCCCTAAAATGTTTCTTAAATGTAATTGAAGGACTGAATTTTAAACTGTTTATTTTTAACTTAGGTAGCCTCCTGTGGGTAGTGATCTAGATATCAGATCTAGAGATCTGAATGATTGGTGGGGGTAGGTGATAAGATTGGTCTTAGTTTTTAAAGGAATGGTACAGTTAGGGTAGGATGAGTAGGAAGGAATTCCTGGCAGATATTCATTAATACAATTATAAATAGCCTATCAATTATGTATTAGAAATCTCAATTACTATATAAAATCTCAGTCTTCTATAGAACAATAATATTGCACATGTAATGCAGCTAGTATGTTAACACTTGCTCTTTTAGTACTACTTGTCTACACTGTTGATAATTTTCTGTTAGGACTTTGTAGTTACTGGAGTCTTATTAACAATAGGGCCATTAATTGTGATGAGGGGTGTTTCTGACTTAACAGTGGTTAGTGACAACAAATGGTATAAACTGTCAGTAGTGAAGCTGGAGATAGAATGGATCTTCCTTTAAGAAAATTACTGCTTCCAAATGATTTATCAGGTGAGGGTTATGGAGAGATTACTAGAGCTTTCAAGCTAATATAGGTAGTAAATACAGTTTCAAGTGAAACCGATACATTCTTCATCTTTTTTGATACTATTTTTTAAAATACTAAGGAAAATTATTTCAACTTTCTTCTAACTCCCAAATGTTTATTTTCACCTTTGTCCTGAAATTTACAATGAATATACTGAAAACTTTGTGCATCTTCACTAGTTGTACATAGGGTTTTTTTGTTTGTTTTTTGTCTTGGCTTAGTTTTTGTCATTTTTCTCTAAACAGTGGGGACATGAGTGATTTTTATTTTTATTTTTTCCATAATTTCATATCATTAAAAGATAAAATTTCTAAATGTTTTGGGAGCATAATACCTTGAGTTCATAAAGATAGGAGATCAGAAGAATCCTTAAATGGACACTATGATATCAGTGTTAATTAGATTGCCAGACTTCTCCATGAGTTTGTAGATATAGCCATATTCTTCTTTAAAATTTTTTATAAAAGTTTAATCACTCATGATCAGTGCTGTTTGTGGTCCAAAATGATGGATCTAAAAACAATGAAACTAAAATTATGTGGTATATGGAGTGTTAAGATTGATTTTTTTTCATCTAAATCATAAAATACAAATGGAGGAATTTTCTGTCAAAGTAGCCAGTCTCAGGGATATTTAAATGTACAGGGTCTATTTAAAAAATGGATTGATTCCCTAAATCACATTTATCAATAAATGAGCAAGACTGTTGAATTAAAAACTAAACTGGTTCAACTAAATGGAGAGGAAGATGGAGTAGTTAAGACAAGTAGACTGGATTATCAACTTTACTTCTTGGACATAAAGCTTTCTTTCATTCAAGTGAAAAGTTTCTGCTTTGGAAGAACTGATTATAACCTATAAATTAAAGATCTTTCCTTTTCTAAAATCTACATTAATAATGAACTGGAAGATTAATTCTTGTCCCAATGAGTACATGAAAATACTATTACTGTTATGGAATAACCATAAAAGCTATGATATTCGGTATCAAGTTTTAAATGAAAATCTTGCACAGGAATTGCTGTCAAGGCATTTGGTGTCTATCTGTTTTGACATTACCAAATTTCAGTCAAATCCAACAGCACATTCATTTTCTTCTGCAACTACCAAAACACAGTCGTCATCATAATGTGATTGGGGTGTAGTTGAAAAAACTGTGGTGAAACCAGAATTGGAATTTCTTTTGTATAGGTACCAAATGATTGCTCCCAAAACTGTCAAAATTACTGTACCAGCAATCACCAAAGTTGATATTAAAATGTGGTTATCTGAAAAAGAAGATAAAAGAATATATGGGAGATCAGGTTGCAAGTATTGCATTTTAAAGAATACATTGTAATTTAATCATCTAATTTAATCATACTCGTAAGAAAAAGAAATTACACATTAACTACTATCAAGATTTAAATTTCTTAGTGTGAAAAATGGCTGTACTTCAAAATTTCAAGTAAATATTGCCGTTTCTTTGCATTAACAATGATAAAAGTAGTCCACAATCCTGTTTGTCTTCCTTGGCTTTCTTTTCTGAATTAAGACTTTGCAAATTCATGTATACTGCTCTTTTTAGGAATAGTGGTATTTAAATCTCTGTTACATCAGTGGAGTTTTTAATGGTTTGCCTTTTGAAGATTTAAGATTTGTTTCACAGATGACGCACCATAAGCTGCAGTATCCTCCACTTTTGTTACCTTGCAAACATTCAAATACTATATATTTGTTTATTCCCTGAAGTTCTTTAAGTACAACTTTGTAATTCTTGCCCATTTAGAACCCTTGTAATCTTCCTAAAAGAATTTAGCTTATCAAATTGAGGAGAATTATTTGATTTAGTAGTTAGGAAGGAAATAGTTTTGAGAAGGTAACTATTATAGTTATAAAGGACTAAAAATGTGAGAATTTTTTTTTAGGTACTAGAGATTGAACTCAGAGGCACTTGACCACAGAGCCACATCCCCAACTCTATTTTGTGTTTTATTTAGAGATAGGGTCTCACTCAGTACTTAGCGCCTCACCTTTTGTTGAGGCTGGCTTTGAACTCAAAATCCATCTGTCTCAGCTTTCCAAGCCACTGGGATACATGCATGCGCCACCTTGCTTGGMAAAATGTGAGAAATTCTCAGAATTATCATTTTTGTAGATGTTCCCTTTTTGGTGGTGGGGGATTAAACCAGGAGCACTTAACCACTGAGCCACATCCCCAGTCCTTTTATTTATTTATTTTGCCCTTTTTATTTTTTCTTTTTGAGACCAGGAGTAAATTGCTGAGGCCTCGAATTTGGAAATCTGCTTCATCCTCCTAGGTTGCTGGGATTATAGGTGTGTCCCATCATACCTAGCTGCTGATGCATTTTTTATTAGCCATACTGATACTCATTATTTCAGCTTGTGTTTGTTAAAAATGGGACCTAACGGAAATAAGTTTGGTTAGGTAAATCACTATTTGGGGTGGGGTGGGGGCGGTGATGATTGAACCCAGGACATTCAGCTTGTAAGACAAGCATTCTACCAATGGAGCTATATCCCCAGCCCTGAGTGTTACTACTTTTAAGGTTGGGGAGAGCCATTTGTATTTTTAAATTATTGACAAGATTCTTTAAAAACACATTGTAAATGTCCACAACTGAATTATTTTTAATCCTAAAATAAAATTAGTGGACACAATTTAGCAGTGTTTGGGGGTAAGGGTGCTATATTATCTTTTTAACCTCTCCTTCGTGACCTTTTGTCTCCTGCCACTTGTGTACTCTAGTTATAAGGCCCAAACTACACAGTCTGCCTCTTAAACACTTGAATGAGCATTTCACAAAAGAGGACACACAAAGGTGCTCAAGAAAATGAAAATGCAGTAAGTTCATTCCACTTTGGGGAATGTACTCAAAATGGGAATGCAGGTCCCCAGAAGGACATGAGAATGTTTATAGGTGGCTGTATTCATATTAGTTGCAAGGTACAAATTCAAATATCTGAAAAGAAAGTGAGCAGATTGATATTTATAAAAGTACTATTAAGCAATTTTTAAAATATTGTATATGCTCAACAACAAACAAATCTATAGAAAAATTCCTGAGTGAAAAAAAGCAAGAAAAAAGTGCATAAAGTGGAATATGGTAAAGTTAGTGATTAGTTACCTCTGGGATTCGTGGGCAATAATATTGACATTTTCTTTCAGTACTGGGGATTGAATCCAGGGGCATATTAACACAGAGCTACACCCCCAGCCCTTTTTAAGTTTGAGACAGGGTCTCACTAAGTTGCTTGGGACTTCACTAAGTTGCTGAGGCTGGATTCAAACTTGCAATCCTCCTACCTCAGTCTCACAAATCACTGGTATTACAGGCATGTGCCACCACACCCAAGTAAATGCTAGGTTTCTTAACTGGTAGTTACTAGTAGTACATAAATATCAAGCTGTATGTGTAAGATTTGTGCATTTTACTCAATTATACTTCAAAATATGAAGATTAAAAACTATCCAATTGAGGAAAATTTTTCAGAACAGGTTCTCACATTGCAAAACTACATCTCCTATAGATTAGTAATAGTCAAAGTTGGATTCATTTTTTAATCCAGCAATTTCAAAGAACCTACAGATAAATCTGTCTTTGTGCAAAGTTATTTATTGTAGCATTGTTTATAAGAACAAATGTCTGGGAACAACCAAGTGGAAGTTTGAAGCTGGGTCAATTAGGTATATACATACCATGGAAGTATATGTAGTTGTAAAGAAAGAAGATTGATTTATTTATAGATCAGTGTTGAGGACAATGTATGATATGTTAAAAGACTATATTGGGGGCAAAATAAGTCATATGTCTCAGTTTGCTTATGTTAGCAAAAGGCACAAGAAGGTTAAAGAAGAAACTAAGTAAAATGGTTCCCAATAAAGGTAAAGATACGAAAGTGTGGACAGCAGTGTTTGCCTTATACTTTGGATTTTTGAATCACGTATTACGTGTCCCCTTTTTTAAAAGAATGTATTTAGGAGCTGGGGTTATGGCTCAGTAGTAGAGCGTTTGTCTTGAATGAATGAGGCACTGGGTTCAATCCTCAGCACCACATAAATAAAAGTATTGTGCCCATCTACAACTTTAAAAAAAAAAGTCTTCAAAAAATTTTTAAAATAATGTTTTAGTAAGTCCTTAATATGGAAGCTCTATGAATTGCAAATTACAACTAGAAGATGAATCTTTTTACCAAAATATGCAGTCATATACCACAAAAACACATAATGCAGTTCCTTGGGAAAATACAATTTGGTGTAAAGAATTGTTCATTTCATGTATAACTTATGGTTACCATATTTAAAATGCCAAACCTTATTACTAAGCTAAAAGGCTTTTCTACATTTTTATAAAATTATGTGTTACATAACTTTTTTAAAGGGGTCTATAGTCTATAGTGTGTTTCAACATGCCAGAATTTTAATACTTTTTTAATTAACGAAAAAAAAATAAGACCAGAATATTACTTACCTGATAAATATTTCTTGTTATATGGGACTGAAATACAAAAGAAAATAAAATTTTAGTATGCTTTATATTATAAGATTGACTTAAACACTTTCACAGTGTTAACSATAAATACTATTAGTTTAATATTCCTATTTCTACTGCTTTGTGAATTGTCTGTGTTATTGAATGTAGCTTTTAAAGATAGATACAGAGCCCTAACAAGCCAAGAACTTAGTTGGTGGACAAAGAAGAGGGAAGAATAAAGAGGATTCTGGTTGGAGATTTTGTGGAGAAAAAATGTAAAATTAAACAGTCATGACCTTACCTTTTTAGTATGGATTTTCTATTTCTGGTGTTTTGAATTTAACATTTAATTAAAAACTTGTTTTATATATCAATGCCCTGAAGGACAGTATATAAAATCTAATTTTTAAAAAATCAGATATTTGAGTTCTATGAAACAATGACAAATATTTATGTAATCTCTATAAAACTAATTATACTCAAGAATCCTGCTGCAATAAGTCTTAAAAGTGCATAATTTTGGATGTTAAAAACGGAAATAATCTACCAACCTAAGAGCCCTTCAATAGGTGAAATGGATTAAAAACTTAAGATATATATATATATATATAGGGGTAGAATGTTACTCAGCCTTAAAGAATGAAAACATGGCATTTGCTGGTAAATGGATAGAGCTGGAGAATATCATGCTAAGCAAAATAAGCCAATCCCCAAAAAATCAAAAGCCAAATGTTTTCTGATATATGGATGTTAATTTGCGATGGAGTTGGTGGTGCTGGGGAAGAATAGAGTTACTTTAGGTAGAGGGGAGTAAAGGGATGGGGGGGGTAGAAAGGATAGGAGAATGAATCAGACATTATTACCTTCTGTTCATATATAACTATATGACTGATGTGATTCACATCAGGTAGAATCAGAAGAATGAGAAATTATACTCCGTTGTATACGATGTATCAAAGTGCATTCTACTGTAATACATAACTAATTTTTAAAAAGGAAATAACCAGAGCTAAATGTCTGGTTTGGGTTTACAGTTAAAGCAGGAGAGAATACTAAGGATGCAAAATGGGGAAATGTCTGTCTGTGTCATGTTTCAAGCATCCCAAATTCATATTTTGGCATTTTAAATTTCTTTACTGAGAAAAGATTTACTCTCCAGAATTTAAAAGCACAAACTGTTTACAAAATTTAACAATCACATGAAAATATCGTGGAAAGTGACAGTTTTGTTCACTAAAATTCATTTTAATAAATCAGAAGAAAATTTATTATTTTAATCTAAAATATATCATGAACTATAATGTCATTTCTGTTTGCCTAAATGAAGGATGTTACTTCTTGTAAATAATCTAATTCTCTGTAAAGTTACATTAGAATTCTGGGATTATACAAACTTACTCTACACCACTGCTGCTCAATCAAATCATACACCAAAATCTTATGGTAATTCTTTTGAAAAACAAGATATTTGGGGGCTGAGGTTGTGGCTCGGCGGTAGAACACTCGCCTAGCGTTTGCGAGGCCYTAGGTTTGATCCTCAGCACCACATAAAAATAAGTAAACAAAATAAAGGTACTGTGTCCAACTACATCTAAAAAATACATAGTGAACAAAAAAGAAACCATATTTTTGATCTCTTGGAAACTTTAAGCAGATAGAATTAAATTATGCTTGGTGTGCATTATCTGGCCCTGCCTGTGAAGTGTAAGGCAATTACATATTTAATTTCCAGGAGACAAACTATTCTACTATATTCTGAATTCTTACTCCATTTATTTAATAAGAAAAGCTAATCTCGGAAAAAAATTGTTTGAAATCAGCCTTACTTTTCACAGCCCTCTTAGAATGGAAAAAAGACATTCAGTCATACTTACTAGCTGCTTTACAAAGTGTTCCTTCCACAGAAGAAACTTCACAATTTCCTTTTTTCCATTCACCTGTCTTGGTGTGCAGAAAACCACAGGTGTCAACTAGATCCTCAGCATCTTCTTGGTCTTCCCACTTATCAAATGTCATATTTGAACTATCAAACCACTTGAAACTTGCATCTGTCAATTAAGGAACATTTTCAACATCATGACAGTTTAAAAATGTGTTAGAGCCAAAGAAAAATATTTTGGATTAAAGGTGGAAAGGTATGTAGTTGATTTTTGGTTTTCAATTTTTTGGATTAAAGTTAGAAGGAGGAATATATTCTCTCTGCAGCCACATCAGCAAAAGGTATTTATTGGGTTGGGGATATATCTCAGTTGGTAGAGTGCTTGCCTTGCATGCATAAGGCCCTGGGTTCAATCCCCAACACCAAAAAAAAAAAAGTATTTATTTTAAGTGGTTTCAGAAAAAGATCCCATTTTGTAAGGAAAGCTATTTCCATGGGAAAATTATTTTTAAGTTTAAATATTATCAACCTTAGTAATTTCATTTCTTTTGAAAATGCTTAAATAGGGCTGCGGTTGTGGCTCAGAGGTAGAACGCTCTCACCTAGCATGTGTTAGGCACTGGGTTAGATCCTCAGGACCACATAAAGTAAAATAAAGACACTGCATCCACCTATAACTAAAAAATAAATATTAAAAAAAGAAAATGCTTAAATATGTCCCTTCTAGTTTTCTGTAGTGACAAAATACACATTTACATTATATAACATACAGATCATTTACTCTAACCTTATCCTATTAACTGCTAACACTAATAAGTTTTATGACTGTGCCATATTACAAAAATACTAAGCCTAGAAACATTTTAATCCAGACAAGAGAATCAACTATCTCATTTGTCAAACACATCAAGCTACTTAGGGGAAAGCTATGTATGGTACAAGTCATAGGTGCACACTGGAAATGCAATACCTGGATGCCCCAGGAAACATCAACTTGATCTGTAAAACTGAAGAATCAAAATGCCCTAAGCTCTACAAACAGAAAAACAGTCACACTTACCATCTGTGTCATAAAACATGCCTAGGAGGATATCATCTGGGCCTTTCCATTGCTTTTTCAAAGTATTCAGTATAAAAGCATTTTCTTCTTCATTATGTATGCTTATCATGTCTGCTCCTGAAATTATTTTAAAGAGGGGAGCGCATGCTCAAGAATCAGTGAAAATTACATGAGGTATAAAAAATTATGAGCTTTATTTGTTTCACCTTTACATCTTTTAAAAGAGGGCTTTGGGGCAGGGGACAATAAATTTAACTACAGGACAACAGAAAACTGAGGACCCAAATCAAAACATATTGTTAAAGAGGAAATCAGAAACCAGACAACCTATAGCTCTATTATGAATATGAAATAAAATGGCAAACACCTTAATAGGGGAAAAATAGATCTCAGACTATTAAAAAGACAATTTGCCTTCCCAAAGAAAAATGTAACACAAGAAACGTGAAAACTCATCTTGCTTCTAAAATACGAAAAAAAAAAATAAGAATTCCATATTAGCTTTATACATTTCTGGCTTTTATTGTAGAAAATGAGAACTAAAAGCAGTAGAGTAAAAGCATCAACTTTGTGGAGACAATTTGGTGATATAAGCCTAAAGCCTTAAAATAAGTATATTCTTTAACCCAGCAATCTTTAATCAATATATGCTAAGGTAGTCATTGGCTCTTAAACATATAGGCAAAGTCACATGTTCAACAATACCCAAATTTGTTTTCACAAATCACAGGCACAATTAAATTGGAAATAATCTAGGATAGTTTCCCTAGTCTAGAAGCACAGTTACCAAAATGTTAACAATTAAGTACCTCAGAGTGGTGCAGTTTAGGGTGATTTTGATTTTGTTTTTTAATTTTCATGTACATGATCATCTCTTATGTAAGTATGAAAAACTTTTAAAAGAAAAAATGAGACTGACAATTTAAAATACTTATTTAGTCCACAGAATTCAGCAAGATTCTTTGAGTCAGTTCACCTTTTAAAAACTTGGTAACTTTTATCAGCTCTAGCTCCTATCACATGTCTGTTAAATGTCACAATGACTTTTAACCTGTTTTACCCTAATACTTCTAAAATGTGACCAAAACAACACTCAAGAAAAATCCTAAAGAGAAATATTTAACTAGGTGATAGTTTAGGTTTAAGTATCCAGAGATGATGGTTTTTATTCTTTTCTTTGATCTTATGGCAGCCTTTAATAAACTTTAATGATATTTTTACACTACAACCTAATTAAATGTATATACTTAAATTATTATGTCAGGCAAATAAGACACATTTTCATTTTCTTAAATGGCAGAATAAATGCTTGTGCTGAATGCATTACCAGTGATACTACCTACTGAGATATAATTTAGCTCTTTAATTCTTTTTTATGACTAATGATATGTAGCTTATATGACCAAAAGGAAAGAGTGAAATATATATAATTTGTTATAAAGGTAAATGTTGTAAAATAAAATATTTTAGCTTTTCACAATTATTTTCTAAATGAGTAATATTAGAAAAGAAAGAAAATTAGCACATTAAGTAGCACAAAGCACTGTGAATAATATAAATATAGCTATCTGTAGGCCAAAACGTAACAAGTGACTTATTTTCTGTACTCCCAATGGTAAGTTTAAGAAGTTATTTGGGGGGCTGGGGCTGGGGCGGGGCTCAGTGGCAGAGTGCTTGCCTACTATGTGTGAGGCACTGGTATTTGATCCTTAGCACCACATACAAAAATAAGCAAATAAAGGCATGCTGTCCATCTACAACTACAAAAAAATGATTTTGTATGACTGTGAAGACTTTCTAGTAATAAGCTTTTTCTTCTTTATACATAGTAGAGAAAAAAACAATTCATGTTGATCTACTCTGCTGTTCTAAACAAAACACTACCATGTTAAAAATATGTGACAGTAATACTGACTAAATTTAGCTAGCTGTCTGACTCATCTATGAAATGGGTATTTCCAGAGTAGAAGAAAATGTATAGGATTATGAAAAAAACAGAAGGAATTTTAGCCATGTATGAAGAACTTTTAAAAAATCAAAATTATAAATTTACAATTTATAATGTTGTGTGTCTGCTGGGGATAGAACCAAGGGCCTTATGCATGCTAGATAAGTACTCTATCACTAAGCCACACTTAATCCCCTGAATTTATAAATGTTTAAGTCGAGAAAAAGACAGTTTTATTTAGACATAAGACATTTTATGAAAAGATCTGTATATACTATGCAATATTCCTAAATAGCTACTCTAACTAGTTAATGGACTTCTAAATATAGCAATCAAAACTCAGGCTACAGAGCTGGGCATGTAGCTCACTGGGAGGGTACTTGCCTAGCATGTACAAGGCCCTGGATTCAATTCCTACAACTTAAAAAAGAAAGGAAGAAACAAAAAACACACAACCCTTGGGCTGGGGATGTGGTTCAAGTGGTAGCAYGCTCGCCCAGCATGTGTGAGGCACTGGGTTCGATTCTCAGCACCACATAAAAATAAAATAAAGATATTGTGACAACCTACAACTAAAAAATATTTCTGAAAAACACAACCCTCAGGCCACAAAGTTATTCAGTGTTTGTTTGTTTTGTTTTTAATGCTTTTTAGTTGTAGGTGGACACAATACCTTTATTTTATTTATTTTTATGTAGTGCTAGGAATTGAACCCCGTGCCTCATAACATGCTATACAAGCATTGTACCACTGAGCCACAACCCTAGCCCATTATTCAGTGTTTTTAATTTAGTTTTGCTTAGTTTGCTAAAAAATTATTATGACTGGACTACATTTGAGTCATAGAGGAAGTAAATCAACACATTCATTTTGCTTCTGTATAGTCAACAGTTACTTAACTGAGACACATGTTAATGCTGACAATGAACTTTGATTTTGTAGTTTATACAAGCTAATAAGGATATAGGAACATGCTTTCTTGACTCTCAGCCTCAATATAACTTGTTACTGAAATACATACTAATGTCTAAGTATAGCTAATAGAAATTGTTTTTTAAAAAAGACAAAGTAGTTGGAGAGGAAACTTCATTTTAAAAAATCTTGTATAACCAGCCAAATTGCTGTTATTTTATTCAGCTGCCTTGAAATAAAATAATATTGGCACGTTGGAAATTTTGTCCTTTTTTCTAAAAGCTTATGCTACTCACCATTTGATAGGTAAGAATTTTCCAAGGGAAAATAATATGTATTAACTATGTGAATTAAAAACTGTTTGTTTTCTTTCATTATATAATAAATGAATATGATTTTAATTAAAGTATCTTTAATACAATTTGATAGGCCTCCAAAATGTTATATTAGTGAGTTGTTAGAAATTGTTTTTTAGGGGGAGGACACTTCTAAATGCTGGAATTGTGATTATGCCTAAGAAAACACATAAATAGTGGAGAGTATAGATTTTATACAGTAATAAAAACTATCTTTAGTAAGACCCAAGGACTCTCAAGTCACAAGCTATATTTTAGTTGCAAAAGATGCTTTCTTACAGCATAGCTTTAGTTTGAGCTAATGACTGCCAAAATCCAAAAACCTGAATTGCCTCCACTCCAAGCACACCTTTAAAAACAAGGGCTGGGAGGGCTGAGATGTCGCTCAGTGGCAAAAGCATCTGCAAAGCCCTGGATTCGATCCCCAGTTCCCAGGTGGGGGGAAAAGTTGGGACTGGGGTTGTAGCTCAGTGATAGAGTGCTTGCCTAGCACATGTGAGGCTCTGAGTTCGATCCTCAATACCACCAATAAATTAAATAAAGGTATTGTGTCCATCTACAACCAAAAAAAAAAAAACAGGGCTGAGGATATAGCTCAAAAGTAGAGTGTATGCTTTGCATGTGCATGGTCCTGGATTCAGTCCTCAGCACCATGAAAAAAGAAAAAAATTTTGCCTGGTGCAGTAATATGTGCCTGTAGTCCCTGCTACTGGAGAGGTTGACTAAAGAATCTCAATTTCAAAGCCAGCCTGGACAACATAGCAAGACCCTGACTGAAAAAACAAAAGCATTTTTTAAAGTCTAAAATATATCACAATGTGAAATTGAGTGTATTTTTTTAATTTTTAAAAATAATTGTAAATGGACATAATAYCTTTATTTTTATGTGGTGCTCAGGATGGAACCCAGTGCCTCACATGTGCTAGGCAAACACTCTACTATTGAGCCACAACTCTAGCTCAAATTGAATATGTATTCTAACTGAAAAAATAGCCCTTTTATCTTACTCTTCTTTACCACAGACTTACTTGGTGGGCTTATGTAATTTAACTTTTGCCCACACTGCATGCCTGCAACAGTAGTTCTGAAATAGAATAAAAAAGTGATGAAGAATTCTAAGCCTAAATCCCAACAGACCTTGGTGATAATTTTAACTCATTTACAAATTATGAAAATGAAATTCAGGGAAGACAATTTGCCAAGGTATTGTGTGTCAAACATTAACTTTGCTTTCAGGAATCCTGTTTTTACAATAAGTTGATGCTGTTTTTGAATTGTAGGTTAAACCTATGTATTTAGATAAATTGATGCTATTTCCTTTTTTTAAAATTTTTAGTTGTAGATAGACAAAATGCTTTTATTTTATATATTTATTTATTTTTATGTGGTGCTGAGGACCGAACCCAGTGCCTCACATGTGCTAGGCAAGTGCTCTGCCACTGAGCCACAACCCCAGCTCAATTGATGCTATTTCTACCTGGAGGCTAGCTCTTGCCATATATCATATATCATCATCCCCCTTCAGATACTTTTACTCTATTGCTTTTGGATTTTCAGGAAGAGATGTTATTTGTACTAGTTTTCCCCTATTCCTTTCTTTCTGTTTTTTCTTAAACCCACTTCACTCAGTATTTTATTTAAAACTCTCCATAGAGATTTCTACAATCCAAATTCTAATGACATTCACATGATTGTATYCAACGGCCTCTTCCTCATTCCCATCCTACTTAATTATCAGCCACGTTTGAGAAAGCTGCTTATCTTCTTTTTGAATCACTTTATTCTCTTGGCTTTCAGAGGAATCTACTAGTCCTCTTAAAGCCTGGCTTTAAAGGTCCCAGGACACCACACGAGCTGCATTTAATTGGTTAAAGCAAGTCATAAAGACCAACCTAAATTCAAAGGGAGGGCAAATAGATTGCTCATACTATATGGTTGAAGGGGGAGAAAAGGAGTTATTGACAGCCATCTTTGAAGACAGTAGCGTAGAYAGATGCTGGGTAGGGAAGGCAGTCCTCTGTGAGAGGGAGCACCAGAACATGTCCAAGTCCATGCCTGTGTGGCCTTGAACAAATAACTAAACTTAATAAAAGAAAGATAATAAACTGCTTGATCGGTTTGTTGTGATAATTAAAGCTAGGTGAAATATGAAGTGCTGAAGTACAATGCGTGGCTCAAGGTACACACATTGCATAGACTCTGAAGTTGCTAAGATTCTGTCWCTATTACGGACAGTATCATCCAACTATTGTCTTCTAAATCAAGAATTACATTCAGTTCTACTTGCATGTTGTAGAAGAAGAATTGGACATTAATTCTAAGAACCCAGAGAAAGRTATGATAACATCACTTTTGAAACATATTAATGAATGCTGCTAATTTGTGAGAGGGGGGAAAAAAGCCACTTACCATGGTCAGTACACTGATTTCTGACATCTTCTATACTCTCAACTTTGATGGCTTCTTCAAGAAAAATGTAACAGCTGTCTTTGAACTGAACCCAGGCAGATGAAGGACAGTCTATGGAAAAAAAGAAAAATGCTGTTGTTAAAAAGATTTAACATGAATTCCTGAAGAATATTAGATATTTAATTTTCACACACACAAAGGCAATTTCCCTTGTTAAATATTTGTTAAACTAGTGTAACAGAAATTTGTTTCTCTTCATTATACATGTGGGGATGTATAATTTACAAGTCTTTAGATTGTTTAGCAATTCAGACATGTAAATTGCAGCATTATTACCAAGGCAACAAAGTCTCAAGGAAGACAACCAGTTAGAATTACAGGATTCTCTTTAAAGGTTATCTTTGCAATGTGTAATCACAATTTCAAAAGTCTTAAGAGCTTTAAAAATCCCTTTGTTCAAATTATACCTCTAAGAACAGAGAACAAGTGGTAGGATTATGAATATTCAGACATTTAGTATTGCACAGGAAAACAAGATGAACGTCCTTATGAATGTTCTTAATTTAACACTTCATCAAATCACATTCTTTGCTAGTTCTAGAAAACAGTCATATTTTTTTGCTATTCCTGTAGGATGGAAGAACATCTTCAACTATCTCTACCTTGGTCTCTTTTTGTTCACCATGATGATGTATATCTTTATGCCCAGGTTCTAGAATGTCACTAGTTAGCATTGTAAGTAAAAGTAAGACTGAAAGAGCTTAATTTCACTAAAACTGGAAGAAGGAATGGAATTCCTTAATTCTAGTGAATAAATGAGCACAAAGCACTATATTTCTATATTCTCTTAAGTTTATTTAAAATCACAAAGATTTTTTCCTATATAGTTTTATTTTCAAGACCTGTGCATATTATAATTTTTTTTAATATAAAAGAGTGGAAACAAGCCTTACTACAGAGATCAGAACTTACCAGTCATTTTAGCCTAAATTCAACACTTGATTTTACTGAGCTCAGAATATTCCAGAGGCCATTGGTTGTTCCCAATATTTGATCTCAAGCTTCTTACAGCCCAGAGAACATACCACCAAGATAGATTATTTCCCAGTCTTCTAGTAACTTCTGGATAATAAGCGATCACAAGTGAAGTGTTCAACACACAGGTCCTCCCTTCAAAGGCAAGAGTGTGCTCCTAATATCACATTTATTTCCCCACTTGCTAAACTGTATTAGCCACCTTTAATTATGTGACCAAAGGAAACACCCTAGGATAACAAAGCAACAAGATGGGTGGGTTGTAGGTGAAGCTGTCGTATCACACTCAATTGTAATGAGAGAGAAGTAAGCCATTGTTAATTTAGGTCACTCACGTATCAATTGGACAAATAACCTAAAAGGATGGACTACTTAAAATTATCCAAAAAATAAATAAATATATTCAAATTCATAAGATGTGAACTTTTGCTGGCTGCATGATATCTTATTTAAAAGTTAAACCACCCAAGATGTACTAGGATGAGGATAAGTGTCCCAAGACACCGTTTATTTTTTTAATGCAGATAGTGTTCCTTCCTGCTGTTTTATAAGCACTTACATTATACATGTGGCGACCTTGGCTTGAAATCTGGCAAGAATCTAAAACGCTCTCCCTATGGTGGCTTAAAGATAATTGGAGAGGACAAAAAAAATTGGCAACAAGACCTTTTCTTTGAGAGAATTCTTATAGTGAAACATTAGGAAAAAAAGCTGGCTATAAAATTAAATGTACAGTATTATCCTAAGATAAAAAGAAGAAAACCCAGAAAGATTTAGGACATACCAGACACTATTGTAGGAGGTAGGTTCAGAGGGCCTGAAACCAAGGCATTTGGTTAAAAAACTGTTATGGAGCAGCTAGACCCTTCAATCCCTTTGCTGAGTAAGAGCACTTGGCCATCTCAGGTCTACTGTACACATTTTGCCTCTGCCTCTGAAAGCCTGGGCTTTACTCAGGTGAGAAACTTTTATTTCTTTAAATCTACTCCCAGACCATCAAATATTATTCTCTGCTCATCTTCAGAGGTGCAGGTCATCTGTCTATACCACCTTTCCCAAGACATCATCACTGGAATTTATTTTAACTTTCCCTCGAAATTTTACCACACAGTTCTTTCTCTCTTAAGCAACCATCTTATGGCAGCATAGGATATCAGAAAGAACAAAACCTTGAATTCAGGACAGGAGTTTTTATCTTGGTGGTTGTACCTTGGATTGCTTATCTTTTTGTCTATATTTTCTTAGGAAGGTAAGGGATAAATATCTACTTCATTGGATTGTTACAGTGAACATTAGCTAAGGTGCTGCAAAATTGCACCGCACAATGTTTAATACAGAGAAAGTAGTCAAAATATGTAGCTTTGGGGGGCCTGGGGTTGTAGCTCAGTGGTAGAGCACTTGCTTAGCATGTGTGAGGCACTAGGCTCAATCCTCAGCACCACATATAAATAAATAAATAAATAAAGGTATTGTGTCCATCTATAAAAAAATTTTAAAAAATATGTAGCTTTTGGCAACCATAATCACTCATCCAGTTTTATAACTGGTATCTTTCTCTCCTAGAATGTGACTACACTGAAAACACAGACTAAGTCTTAATTAATTTTTGGATCCCTAACACCTCAAATAGCTCTTGGACTATAACAGGGACTTTAAGTACTTACTGATTAATAAATCCTCATCTTCACCTCTATGGCTTATCATCTCTTGATCATCTTCAACTTGCTTCACTGTGACATGAAACATGCTATAGTCTAAAATATAACATATTCTGAAATATAACTGAACTTACCTTGCTGTCAATTCTCAATACTTTATTGATGTACTTTTTTAATATTTATTTTTTTAGGTATAGATGGACCGAACACAATGCCTTTATTTTTATGTGGTGCTGAGGATCAAACCCAGGTCCCACCCRTGCTAGAAGAGCACTCTACTGCTGAGYCACAATCCCAACCCCCAAAATCGATGTACTTTTTATTGAAATGCAACATGCATACAGCACACAAACATAAATACACAGCTTCATGAATTTTTTTATAAAACATACCCATACAATCATCAGCAAAATTAAACAATACATTAACCCTTCCAAAAGTAATCAACCTAACTTCTAATACCATAGATTAGTTTTGCTGGTTTTAGAATTTTATAGTAATGAAATTATACATGTTGGTACACTTTTGTGTCTGGCTTCTTCTGATAGACATTACTTTTTATTAAATTTTTTATTATAATTTGTTATACATGATGACAGAATGCAATTCATTTCATATTACACATATAGAGCACAATTTTTCAAGTCACTGATTGTACACAAAGTATTTTCACACCATTCATGTCTTCATACATGTACTTAGGGCAATCATATCTAACTCATTCTACTGTCATTCCTACCCCTTTGCCCCCTTTCTTTCCCTCCCTCCTCTTTGCTCTATCTAAAGTTCCTCCATTCCTCTCATACTCCCCTCATCACCATTATGAGTCAGCATTGATAGACATTACTTTTACAAGATTTATTTATGCTGTAGTGTGTACATCAATCACTGTATCACTTCTACTATATCACTGTATGAATTTATTCTTTTGTTGATGAATATTAAGACAGTTTCTAGTTTATGGTTATTACAAGTAATGACCTTATGAGCATTCTATGCATGCTTTCTCATAAGTGTATTTCTGGAGTAAATTGTTGGGTACTATACTTTGAACATCCCTTCCAAAACTCAGGTCAAAATTTAACTGACATATGATAGTATTAAAGGGTGAGACTTATAAAGAGGTGACTAGGTCATGATGGCTGTGTCCTTATGAATGGATTAGTGCTGCAAGAGTGGGTTAACAAGTGAGTAGTTTCCTCATAAAAGAGGAAAAAAGTTTGCCATCCAGTCCCCCRACTCTTGTATTTTTGCCTTCTGTTATGGGATGACACCGCAAGAAACCCTCACAGATGCCAGCATCTTGATCTTGGACTTCTCAGTCTTCAGAACTGTGAGAAAAGACATTTTTTGTTTTTTATGAATTACTCCATCTGTGGTATTCCATTTTACCAGTGCAACAGACACATCAAGTATGCATGTGTCCAGCTTTCAGATACTGCCAAATGCTTTTCCAAATGTAACTGTCATTCCTATAAGCAGTAAGTCATATTTTAAAAATCCAGTTTGATAATCCTTATCTTTTAATTGAAGGATTTCCATTCATATTTTATAAGTTGCTGATGAATCTGAATGTCTATATACCATCTATTTGGTATATTTTTATAAACAAATGTTTATAAAATGTCTCCTTTTTCTTCTCTTTTTTCCTGTCTTCTTTTTGGATTATTAAATATTTTTATATATTTTTTCCATTTCTTAACTTTTTAAATATATATTCTTTGATTTTCTTCTGTAGTGAATAACTTGAAAATTACAATATACAAATTTGACCTTTTAGCACCTAAAATAAGACTTTTACCACTTGCTGGAAAATGCTAGGATCACACAGTATTTTAATTTCTATGACCTCCCTTCCGTTGTATTGTTTGTTCTATTACTGTTTTGCATGGTCAGTGTTCCTTTAGCTTTATTTGCTCTCTCTGTTACTCTTTGTGCCTTCTTGCATCTCTTCATTACTGAGTGGGATAATTTTCCATTCGTTTGAAGAAATCTCTTTGGTGTTTCTTTTTTTTTTTTTTTTTTTTGGAAACTCCCTCAATTCGTGAAATTCTATAAATGTCTTTATACTGCGTTCATGCTTAAAGGTTATTTTTGCAAATATAGAATTCTAGAAATAGCAGCTCATCTTTTATTTAAGATGTAGTTTTGTTGTTTGGGGCTTTTATCATTTCTATTGAGCAATCAACTATCAATGTCATTGTTGCTGTTTGACCAATAATGTCCCCTTCCTCATTGTTCTTCCCAACTCACCCCTGCTGCTTTCAAGATTTTATTTGTTTTTGGATTTTAGCAGTTTTATAATGGTATGCCTACTTCTTAATGTTTTAATCCTACAAAGAATTCAATGCATTTCTTGAATCTGTGGCTTATTTTCATTGGTCACTTTAGAAAAGTCCTTGGCCATTATCCCTTCAA